ACAAAGTTGAAGAGAGTGAGGGCCTTGCTCTGGATTAGGCTTTGGTTGAAGGGAATGTGTTGGTCGGCCTGATCTCACTAGACCACGAAAGCTCTCTCCATATCCACAGTAAGCCTGCCTGGCTCTTTTATCACCTGCGTGTTCCCTGAAGTAGTGCTTTTAATTTCCTTCAAGAGTGTTTCCTTTGCATTCATTTTGGAGTTAGACGCACAGCCTACCTTTCGCCGATGCTGACTTTCGACATGCCTCTCTCACTCAGCTTATTCATTCCTAACTTCTCGTGATTTTTTTTTTTTTTTTTTTTTTTTTTTTTTTTTTAGGTTTTTGCCATAGGGGCATGTGCACCCACTGGAGTGAGAAATCATCCCCTGGGAGGGTGGCCACACCACAACCCCTTCTCCTTCACTCTCCTCCTGGGATTTTAGGCGTGCACACACAAATGCACCTGATGTGATTTTCAGGCCACCAGATCCGGCCCTTGAACCGTGGTCCACCACGTGGGAGTCCAGTACTTTAACCACAATGCCACCCGCTGGCCCCTCTAGCTTGTGACTTAAAGTGAGAGCTGTGCGGCTCTGCCTCTTACTTGGACATTTAAGGTCACTGTAGGGGTGATAGGCTTTCCTTCCCTCAGGAGCAGGGAGGCTCAAGGAGAGGGAGAGAGAAAAGGAAACAGCGAGTCAGCGGAAGAGTCAGAACACACGGGTTTGTGGATGAAGTTCTCAGTCTTTTCTTTTTGAGAGAATTTGCTATAGGGCACATGCACTCACCAGAAAGACAGAGAGAGACAGAAAGCGAGAAATCACCCCCCAGGGGGGATGGTCACGCCGCAATCCCTCCTCCTCCATTCTCCTCTCGGGATCTTAGGCACGCACGCACATGCGCCCAGCGTGAGTTTAAGCCGCCGGGTCTGGGACTCAAACCGCGGTCGACTACATGGGAGTCCAGCGACATAGCCATTATGCTAACTGCTGGTCCCAGTTCTCAGTCTTATATGGGCGTGGTCCGTGCTGCCAGAAGACAATTATAATATTAACATGTCGATCACTGATCACAGGTCACCCTAATAACACAGAAGTCTTATCTAATAATGACACAAAAGTTTAAAATATTGTGAGAATGACCAGTCTGGGACATAGAGACATGAAGGGAGCATGTGATATTGGAAAAAGGGAGCTGATAGGCTTTTCTGAAAGAGTTGCCACAGACTGATTTGTAAAACATGCTGGTGTCTGTGAAGAGCAAAAACGCAGAGTGCTAGGACACAGTGCCGCGGTGCTGGTGTCTGTGAAGAGCAAAAACGCAGAGAGAGAGGACACAGTGACACGAGCTAGCCTGTATTGCTACACCGGAGGCCTGGGCATTTCCTGTGGCTCAGAATTAGAGGCACAATGTTAAATTAGGCTAAATTAGGACCAGCAGGTCGTGTGGCAGTTGGGACCAGCAGTTAGCGTAATGGCTATGTCGCTGGACTCCCATGTAGTCGATCGCGGTTCACGTCCCGGACCCGGTGGCTTAAACTCACTCCGGGCGTGTGTGTGTGTGTGCCCAAGATCCCGAGAGGAGAATGGAGGAGAAGGGATTGCAGCGTGGCCATCACCCCTGGGGGGTGATTTCTCACTTTCTGTCTCTCTGTCTCTCTCTGGCAAGCACATGTGCCCTACAGCAAGCAAAAACCTCTCAACAAAAAAAAATTTCCTGGGTTGAAGATTTCTCAAAATTTTATTTTATGAGAGAGAGACCCACAACAGAGTCTCATAACTGTGACCCCCTCCTTTGGCCGTCCAGCTTGTCAGCGTCCGGGGCACGTGGGCACCTGGTGAGTTTCAGATGGACTGAGATCCGAACCTATGGTCAGCCATGTGGCCTCCAGCGTAGCAGTTCAGGACACAACCGCCCATGCCATGGCCATGGGCCCTCCTTTGAGATGTTCGGGGTGAGGACATGGTGGTTAGATCTGGCAGCACTCCGTTCAAGATCACTCAACTACCAAGGGTTGTGGTTTCCAAGGGCAAAGCTCTCAGCCTTCTAGAACGTTCCATAATACAGAATGACCCTCCTCCTAAAGACCCTGCTGTGCTCTCCTCTTCTCACTGTCCCTTCCACTTGCCCTTGAATACTGGCCCTAAAAAATGTCATACAGCTCAACAGCCCTGGGTCTCGGGCGGTAGGCCAGGGGCTTACCAGGAACAGGTGGCGGGGGCGTCGGTTCTTCCCCGTTACCTTCATCAGCGTCCCTTCCTTCAGGAACTCCTGCGGGGAGAGAAGCAGGCCTTGGTGATCAGGTAGACACCCCACGCCATCCAGAGGAAGTGGGGGGAGGCCCCTGAGTGGGAAACTTAAACCATGAATTGTCCAGAGAGTCAGAGAACAGTTCATGGGTGAAGTCCAGCTCAGGAGAGAAGCTGCATGTATGGGGGTGGCACTGGAGACAGGCCCCCAGGAGTGTCTGCCTTGCACTGCACCCAGCTCCGCACTGCTCGGCACAGTCGAATGCAAAAGCGACTGCTCCCACCCAGGGCGACCATCGGAACACAGCCTCTTCGGCTGCTTCGTCACCAGTCCCCACGGTCTCCTAATTCCGGACGACACAAACACATGGAATGAGTTTGTTCTTTTTTAAAGTTATTTATTTAATTTTTAGTTTACTACTATTATTATCATTGGGAACAGCAGTTGGCATAATGGGTACGTCGCTGGATTCCCATGTACTTGATAGTGGTTCGAGTCCCGGCCCCGGTGGCTTAAACTCACGTCGGGCACGTGTTCATGCGTGCCCAAGATCCCAAGAGGAGAATGGAGGAGATGGGATTGCGGCGTGGCCATCCCCCCTGGGGGGTGATTTCTCGCTTTCTGTCTCTCTGTCTCTCTCTCTCTGGCAAGTGCACGTGCCCTATAGCAAAAAATCTCTCCAAAAGTAAAAATTGTTTTATGCCACAGGGTGCAGACAGGTGCATGACAAAAAGAGCGAGAGAAAGAGGACCCCCCCCCTGCAAGGTTCTGGCCATGCTGCAATCCTTTTCCCTCCAAGTCCCCACCCAATCAGGGCCGTGGACACACGTGATTGTGGGTGATGCTGACAGGGCTGGGTGCAGTCGTCCGCGGGCCCTGCGGGAATCCGGCTTCCTAAGCGTGAAGCCCCACCCCCGCACCACTTACCGCCTATCTCCCCAGCTCACGATCCTGGCCCGACACTAAGTTGACTTCACAGACCCTCAGTCCCATGAGATCCTGGCTAATTTTAGACCCCCTGAGCACGCTCTTCATTCCTTTGGGTCTTACCCTTCTTGGATCATGAGTGGTAACGAACATATTTTTGACTATTTTCGAACTGAGTTTTATGTTTTCTATTTGGAAGCTTAAAAGTGGGTAAACTTAGCTCTTAAAAATAAAAGTGATGTTTAAGACATTTTCTCGGGACTCACACTTGACAGCGTTTTCCTGCTTTCCAGCAATTCTGGACTAAATAAATACTTGGGGCCCCTTCTGGGAGGCGAAGGGAACCATGGGGAACACCAGTCCAGCAGGCAGGGTGCCTTTTATCCACGCCCCCAGAGCCGAGGTGGGGGAGGGGCCGCCCCACGAGGCCCCCCCAGCTACAGTGACGGAGGCCAGCCTGCACCCAGCCGGCCCTGCTGCGGTGGGTGAATGGCCCCGGCTCCAGGCCCTGGGTGGCCCACCTGCAGTCCACACACCCCCTGCCCCGTCCACGGAGGTGGCACTCACCCTTCCCGGCTGGAGGAGGTCCCCTTGACCCCGAACGCTGTGCTCGATGTGGACCAGTTTCTGCAGGTTCTCCTGTGGGTGGGAGTGGGGTGAGGGGGAGACGGTCAGGGTCCACTCAGGGGGTCCCTGCTCCTCCGTAACCGGGAGGGAGCTGCTTCAGAAAGGCCCTGCCCTGAGCCCGACCTCCTCGAAGGGGCAGGACCAGGGTTTGAGCGGCTGTGTGCTTCCACGACCGGACTCATCCCTCCAGCCCCGGCCTGGGGCCTGTGTGCATCGGGGGGTGGGGGGGACCACGGCCTGCGGTGCCGTCTGACACCCCTGTCTGCTTCCTGGCCACCAAGCCTGCTCTACGCCTGTGTCCCTCCTAAAGTGTGCAGACTTAAGGGACTTTGAACCCAAGCCTGGGCTCGAGCTTCCAGGCCTGCAGCCCAGAGCCAGGCCCCAGAGGGACAGTTAAACTAGCAAAATGCTCCCTTGGAAGAAGCTGGGTCCACGCTCCCGGAAGTGCACGGTTAGCAGGAGAACATGTCTGGACACTCCCTGTCATCACTCTCCGAGGGACCCAAAGTACGTAAATGACACAACTCCATCTCTTCTGCACCTCGGCCCCCACGATCCTGGAAACAATGAGCACCTCCCTCGAGGGCAGGCTCTGAAGTGTCCGGGGAGAGCTGTGTGGAGAGAAACCACCTGGAAGAGTCCTTTACAATATCCACGGTCGGAGGCATAAAATCCCACACGGCACAAATCTGCCACCGTCATCGGTCTAGTACAACGTGGAAGGATGCCCGAGGACACTGCTCCCGCCCTGACGGTCAGGGAAGGCCAGAGCCTGTAACACTGCCACTCTGCTTCGAAGTCAAGCTATCGGGACCAGCAGTTGGCATAATGGCTATGTCGCTGGACTCCCATGTAGTCGACTGTGGTTTGTGTCCCGGACCCGGTGGCTTAAACTCACGCCGGGCGCGTGTGCGTGCGTGCCCAAGATCCCAAGAGGAGAATGGAGGAGAAGGGATTGCGGTGTGGCCATCCCCCCTGGGGGGTGATTTCTCGCTTTCTGTCTCTCTGTCTCTGTCTTTCTGGTGAGCGCACGCGCCCTATAGCAAAAACCTCTCCAAAAACAAAGGAAATCCACGTGGTAATCCATGGTGTAATGCTACACCACGACTGAACGTAAAAATAGATAAATCAGTAAAAAGAAGGAAGAGCCACGCATAAAGGAAGAAAGGAAAGAGGTGAAAATGACAGCAAACACCTGACGCTCAGCTGCGGGCTGGTGCCACAGGGATCCACGCTTCTTCACAAATTCTTTCCCATGAGCCTCTGCTGGGTGCTTGCAGGGAAGACGGGGCAGGGCAGGGGCCGAGAGAGCCCCTTTCAGCAGTGCCAGTGCACGAGCCCCAAGGGGCTGCCCGAGACCCTGCCTACCTCCCAGGCCGTCCCCCTCCTAGGCCCTGGCCACTGAGGAGGCCAGGAAACCTGCCCACCCAGAACCCGGGCAGACATCCACAGCTCTGGAGAAAGGGCCGCAGCAAAGCCGCCCACCCCTAGGAGAAGGGTGTGACCTCGCGGGCCTTGTCCCATGTCCCAATGCCATCCAGAGGTCACTACAGCTGGGAGATGCGCAGAGGGACTGTTCCAGCCACAGATGCAAGGCCTCTGGACTGCCGTGGGGCGCCTGACTCCCAGCGCTGCTCCAAACTGAGGCTTTGCAGGAGGCCCGAGGCCTCTGCGTCCACCGGGGGCATGGCCCAGGGTCCCGAGCCACAGGGAGCACGCTACGAGAAGGGCGATGGCGTGGCGGAGAGCCTCCTGTGGGGCAGAGATGGCCGAACGCTGAGGACGGAGCAAGGATGTGAGGAAAACTCTCGGGGCCACCAGGGCCACCAGGTTAACAGCAGGCCTTGGTGCAGGAGCATGAAGTCTGGAGGGACCGAAGAGGACAATGGCAACCCCGCAATCCAAACCCAGCTCAGCCACTGACTGGACTGACGCCACTGCCCACCTCTCACCAAAACAGCAGGGCCCAGAGAGGCACGCCCATTTCTGGGGTAAACGCCTCTCGCCCCAGCCTCCGCAGTGCTTCGACACACGATGTCTAGCACTCAGCCACAAATGAGGGGGAAGAGGGCAAGAAAAGAAGTCTCGTTTTCAAGAAATACAGCGTTCAGCAGAATCAAACAAGAGGCGACATGTTGGGCCAGCAGGTGGTAGGACGTCTGAGGCGCTGGACTCCCACGTGGCCGACCACGGTTTGGGTCCCAGACCCGGCAGCCTGCTTTTTCACTTTCCCTGTCTCTTCTCTCCTTCTGGTAAATGCTTATGATCTACAGCAAATCAAATACTACTACTACTAATGATGGGTAAAATGAAATAAATAATTCTTTCCAAACAAGAATGAGGTAACACCTCGGGGCTAGAGATGAGGATTTCAAAGGCCCCATAGCTGGGGCCAGCAGGTGGCGCAGTGGTCAGGCGTTGGACTCCCACATGGCGGACCGCAGTTCAAGTCCTGGTCCAGTGACCCGAAACTCACATCGGGCACGTGTGCATGCCCCAAATCCCAAGAAGAGAATGGAGGAGAAGGGATTGCGGCGTGGCCGTTCTCACTTTCTGTCTGCCTCTCTCTCTCTCCCCGTCCCTCTGGCGGGCACATGCACCCCATAGCAAAAACTCTTTAAAAACAAAGAAAAAGAAACTATGACTAATACATTAAGGACTTAGTAAAAGGGGACAGAAGTGCATGACCAGATGGGCATTTCAGCAGATGGGGAACAGAAATATTAGAAATACCAGCAGTTAGCATAATGGCTATGTCGCTGGACTCCCATGCAGTTGACCGCGGTTCGTGTCCCGGACTCGGTGGCTTAAACCCACGCTGGGCACGTGTGCGTGCATGCCCAAGATCCCGAGAGGAGAACGGAGGAGAAGGGATTACGGCGTAGCCATCCCCCCGGGGGGTGATTTCTCGTTTTTTGTCTCTCTGTCCCTCTGTCTTTCTGGTGAGCGCATGTGCTCTATAGCAAAAACCTCTCCCCAAACAAACAAACAAACAAACAAAACTGGGTTGTCAGAAAAGTCATGATGGGGACCAGCAGTTGATGCAATGGCTACGTCGCTGGACTCCCATGTAGTCGACCGCAGTTCAAATCCTGGACCCGGTGGCTTAAACTCATGCCGGGCGCGTGTGCGTGCGTGCCCAAGATCCTGAGAGGAGAATGGAGGAGAAGGGATTGCGGCATGGCCATCCCCCCCTGGGGGGTGATTTCCGTCTTTCTGTGTCTCTCTCTCTCTCTGTCTCTGGCGAGTGCACGCGTCCTATAGCAAAAACCTCTCCAAAAAAATAAAATATTAAAAAAAAAAAAAGAATGTCTATCTCTGGAACCCTGCACCCAGAAACTGACTGGGAAGACCTAGGTGTGCCTAGGGGTCTGTAGTTTACGAAGCACCCCCAGGTGCTGCCGTGGATGGTCTCTGGCCGTGGGAGCCTTGCTATCAAGTCTATATATTCCTAGCCCTGACGATGCTCCAACGGTGAGCCAAAGGCCCAGAGAGGGGGGTACAGTGGCTAAGGTCACACAGCAAGGGTAGGGCCAGAACCCAGGACTCTCTGTGGAGTACACCGACCTTCGCCTGCAGACCCCAGAAGTGGGATAGCACAGGCTGGACCGGGGCAGGGCCCAGAGGGTCCTGGGATGGCGCCCAAGGGAAGGCACAGGGACGAGACTTACCCCTTGCTCCATGCTGTCGTTGGCACGGTCGGTGACTTTAGAGATGAGGGTCAGGACACCTGGAGAGGGACGCAGAGGGACAGCGGGGCTGCCTGAGGAGGGCCAGCCTCCCTGCTGCCATCCTGGCCTCTCCCCATCCGCTGCCTCTCAGCTCCCACCCCGGACCCCGCAACACCGGCAGGGCTGGGGCGCGTGTGCTGAGGGGGGCTCTGAGTTTTCCCACCGTAGCAGCAGGTCACAGGCAGGACCCCCCTTCCGCTGTGCCACTGCTACCCAGAGGGCCTCCACAGTGACTGGACACGCTGGGCCCCAGGCCCGGGCTGCAAGCAGGCCATGTCTGACAGGGGACAGCCTGGCAGCTCAGACCCAGGACAGCCACACAGGACTGGGGACACAGGGAGGCCGGGGTGGGCCTCTCAGAGCTCATACTGCCCTTCCTGTCACCAAATTCCGGTGACCCCTTCTCTTCTGAGTGGACATCGCCCATCTCAGGGAGTCCTGTGGTTGAAGGAGTCCTCCCGCAAGATCCAGAGTCTCCCAGAAGCCCCAGAGGCATCGGGCACGGGTACCCGGGTGGTGGGGAGGGGGCCGTGGCCTGGGAACCGACGCAGAGTCCTGGGGGCCGTCCAGGTGCACGCCAGACTCACCCTGTGTGTGGTCGTACTCGGCCGAGTCCGGGCAAAGGTTATTTAAGTAGTCTGTGGGAAGAACAGGAGCCGGGGTCAGCGAGGCCCTGGGAAACCAGCCCCTCCGGTCCCTAACTGTGACCACTCCCTCTCCAGCAATGGGAGCCAAGTTCTGGAAGTGTGGGACGCCCACCCCCAGGGCCACCCCGCATGGCACGCACCGGCCCTACACTCACTGTGGCTGCCCGTGGCCAGTCGCTCACCCAGCAAACACCCATGGTGCACCTATGTGCCGGCGCTGGGCCACGCTCTGGGGACACAGACACGGGGGAGCCCTGCCTTCAAGAAGCACACTCTTGGGACCAGCAGATGGCGTACTGGTTACGCTGCGGGACTCCCACGTCGTCGGCCGTGGTTCAAGTCCCGGACCCAGCAGTGGCTTAAACTCACGCCGGGCGCGTGTGCGTACATGCCCAGGATCCCGAGAGGAGAATGGAGGAGAAAGGATTGTGGTGTGGCCATCCCCCCTGGGGGGTGATTTCTCACTTTCTGTCTCTCTTCTCTCCAGTGACTACACAGAGACTCCTCAGAAAAAGAGGCACACACTCGGGCCAGCTCATAACCTGTGGTAAAGGGACACGGATGACCGTGTGGTTTGAGCCTCAGCCCTGGTGGTCTGAAAAACACGCTGAGTACATGCGTGTCTGAAATCCCTACAGGAGGGAGCGATGGGGAGGAGGGACGGCAGCGCGGCCATGCCTCACCGGGGCGTGTTTCTCCCTCTCCCTCTCCCTGTCGCTCTGTGCTGAGTACACGTGCCTGCCAGCAACTTTTTTTTTTTTTTTTTCAAAGCACAGGATCTGCTCAGGGGAGGACAGACGTGACGATCAGCGTGTTGAACCTTGGCCACGTTTATACCCACAAGGCTCCGCGTGCTCTGGGCCTGCCCCGGTTTCCATTCTCCGGCTCACTCAGTCCTTTCCGGCCATGCTGGGTGTCATGGCCTTTCCTTCTTTCTTTCTTTCTTTCTTTCTTTCTTTCTTTCTTTCTTTCTTTCTTTCTTTCTTTTTTTTTTAGAGCTTTTTTTTGCTATAGGGCACGTGTGCTTGCCAGAAAGACAGAGAGAGATAGAAAGCGAGAAATCACCCCCAGGGAGGATGGCCACACCGCAATCCCTTCTCCTCTATTCTCCTCTCGGGATCTTCGGCACGCACGCACACGCGCCCGGCGTGAGTTTTAAGCCACTGGGTCTGGGACGCGAACCGCGGTCGCCTACGTGGGAGTCCAGCGACATAGCCATTACGCTAACTGCTGGTTCCCTTACTTTCCTTATTTTAATTACACTTTTTCCGTGGACAGAGAGAGAGGCGTCACTAGAACCTCTTTTCCTCCGTTTGTCCGTCCTGTCGGGATGTGGGGCGTGCACGCCATGTGCCTGGTGTGATTTCTTTTTTAAGTTGCCAGGGCCAGGATTTGAACTATGGCTGACCATGTGGGGTCAGGCCTCCCATCCTCACGGTTTAACCGCCATGCCCTGGGGCCAGCTTGGATTTTCCTGGTCTGGCTGAGTGCAAAGCCCACGGAGTGTGCTGGTTCAGCTCGCTGCTGTCTCTCCAGGCAGAAATGAGGAGTGACATTCTCCAGGGAGGGGAGGAAAGGGGACCAGGACAGCCCCAAGAACCACAGCAGCTGGGACAGAGAGGTGCGGGGAAGTGGGAGAGGGAACACGGAAGCCCCGGGAGGAGAGGGCTTCGAGAAGCAGGGGGCGCTCCGTGGCAAATCCACAGGCGGCCCAGCAGGTCTGGGGCTGAACCTGTCCACGGCTCTGCCACGTGGGGGGCTCTGGGGACAGGGGCTGCTTCCGCGAAATGAGGAGACAGGCGGGGACGCCAAAGCAGGGTGGGGGGACTGCCCCTGCTGTTCTCTGTTGGACGCGCAGTGGCCGCTGACCGGCGGGGTCCAAGGCAGCGGGAGGGGGCTAAGGGCGACT